ATATTTTAGCAACTGCAGCGCCTCTTGAATAATGGCGCCAATATTTGAAAACTGAAATTAAATAAATACTATATTTTAACAGTTTGTAAATAATATTTATTATTATTTAAAGAACTGCGTAGTAATAGAAAAAGAGAAAGAGAGAGAGAAAGAAAGAGGACAAACGGGCGATAAAGTATACATATTATTAGGTTTATTTATTGGTTGAGCCAATAGCTATTATTGAATGATGCGATAAAATGTTTTGCAATATTGTTAGGGGGTAAATGGGGAGACTACATTTGATTATAAATAGGCAGCTCTCTCAATTGACTATATATATATATATATATATATTAATTCAATGGATGTTTACATGCGATTTGAATGAAATAAAATATGTACCCCCCTATAAAAAAAAAAAAAATCTCATACTCTTTGCTGCGCACCCCTTCGTTGGAGACTTCAATGCGCGACAACGTTCCTCTCAATTCTCTCCCTCTCTCTCACTCACTTACTCTCTCTTTATCTCTCTCTCTCTCTTCTTCTCTCTTTCTCTCTTCTTCTCTCTTTCTCTCTCCTAGCGCCTCTCCTCTCAGTCTCTTTTTCTTTCTCTCCCATATATACCTCTCCCCCACTCCAAAAATCTCATCCTATCTCATTCCTCGCGACATTCCCTTTGGCCACACATTTCATCACACTCCCCTTTTGCTATTTTTATATATCTATATGTACATGTGAAACATTTGCTTCAATATTATATAAACTGGAAAAAAAAATAATGATAGAAATTAAAAAAGCTGGTACATTTTACTTTTGAATTTTCAACATGCTTTAGGATTATTTTAGCTTTGGAATTTTTTATTTTTTATTAACGAACATTATTTTTTTGAAGAGAAAGTAATTTTTAATATTTAAAGTAAAATCTATATTGGCTGCCAAGAAAATTAATTTTAAAGTTTGTTTACTTTTGAAGGTAATTTTAATTATATTTTTAAAAATTCCCGCCAGATTTTTAGATTTTAGCAACAGCAGCGCCTCTAGAATAATGGCGTCAATATTTGAAATCAGAAATTAAAAGGTTGTCATTTTCTTAGTTATTATTATAATAATAATTATTATTACAAAGTTATTAATTATTTTAAATGTAATGAAGACTTTAGTGGTTATATTGAGAGTTTTTTTCCCTTTATGTTTATTTAATATTATAATATAATTTTAATTTTAAAAATTCCCGCTAGAATTTTAATTTTTAGAAACAGTTGCGTCTCTACGACATTGGCGCTAATATTTGAAAACAGAAATTTTAAGGTTGCAATTGAAAGTCCCAATCAAGAATCAAAGAACCGGTTATAAGTTTTGGAGACTCAAAATTCTCGACCCATTTATTAATTTTAGAATGTAATTTTAATTTTCAAATTTCCCGCTAGAATTTTAGTTTTTAGCTATACAGCCACGCCTCTAGAAAAAATGGCGCCAATATTTGAAAATATAAATTAAGAGGCTGCAGTTTTGGAGTTATTATTATTATTATTCTAAAGTTATAATTTACTTTAGATGTAAATTACTAAATCGCACCCCTAAAATAATTAAAAATTTTTGATAGAAAGCAGAAATTTCATAAAAATTCCAATCAGTTTAGATTTTACATATTACAAATATAGTAAAAATTACTCCAAATTCTTTTTCCTATTTTAAAGTGTTTTTTAAAATTATACATGAAAGAAAGAAAATTATAATTGGCGTTTATTTAAATAATCGGTGTTTGACAGGTAGTGTGTATACATATATATATAGAGTGATGCTCGTGAAGGCATTGACCCGTGGCAGAAGGGGTAAGTACCATGGAGAACATCACCATTGTGTGTGTATACGTATATATTGCTTCCACACGACATGTAGAGAGGCGCCCGTTACCAACAGATATTACAGATCAGATAGATAGATCGAGTGCGATTAAGAAATCCGTGACTGGCACTGTTCTCGTCAAATCTTTTCTTTTCCTTCTTTCATTCTTTCTTTCTCTCTTTATATGTAATACGTACTTTCTTCCACTCATCCTCCTCAAAAAAAAAAAAAAAAAAAAACACTTTAGCTCAGCTCTTACATACACACGTTTTCTTAGCTTAACATCTACGATACATCTTCTTGAATTTATTTCTAGGGAATAATTTCTAATAATTAATTATTAGAATAATTAATAAAATAATTTAATTTATTTGTCTATAAGAAAAATAAACAAAAACGTATTTTTTGTTATTGGCAAAGAAGAAGATTTAAAGATTGAAACTACCTCTTTTGTTGATGATTATGAATTTGAGGTCAGATTTACAAAATTCAAAATGGCGGATCCAATATGGCGGTCGTATTTTTAAAATTTACTTGAAATCGCTTGAAACTTGTTACTCGGGGGGTTTTTGCGGTCACTGATTATGAATTTGAGGTCAGATTTATTTATTTATTTATTATTTATTTATTTAATTTACACTTGCTTATTTACAATTGAGGTCAGATTTACAAAATTCAAAATGGCGGATCCAATATGGCGGTCATATTTTTAAAATTTACTTGGAATCGCTTAAAACTTGTTACTCGGGGGGTTTTTGCGGTCACTGATTATGAATTTGAGGTCAGATTTACAAAATTCAAAATGGCGGATCCAAGATGGCGGTCGTATTTTTAAAATTTACTTGAAATCGCTTGAAACTTGTTACTCGGGGGGTTTTTGCGGTCACTGATTATGAATTTGAGGTCAGATTTACATAATACAAAATGGTGGATCCAATGTGGCGACCGAAAATTTAAAAAATCATCAGATTCGCAACCTAAGGGACATTTTCAACCCTTAAATCGTCTTCTTTGCCGATAACAAAAAAAATACGTCACTGACACTTCAGTAAGCTTACTTTAAGAGACAATTAAAACTATTATAATACTTAAAATAAAATAAAAATAAAATATTAAAAGAAGAATGATTTTCTTCTCTAGACAGAAGTAAATGATGGAAGTGGTAAAATATACTCTGTACACAAAATAAAATAACGAATCTCTTGAATGAACAGCAAAAACCAATGGGTATGTATATATATATATATAAATTGTGGAATCATAAACGACAGTATGGTGGGAGGAGGAAATGGTAGAGAGAGGGGGAAAGGGGGGGAAGATTATAAAGTTGTGGAAGGAAGTATAAAAGAGGGAAATGAAGAGTTAGGTGATGAAGGAGGATTGGTTAAAAAGGGGGGAAATGATTCAAGGGAGGGTGTGTTGGGGGGGAAGGGTAAGAGGGGCTCAAAGTTTAAACGAAAAGGTTAGGCCTGTCACGTGTTGCGGTTTTGTGCGGCGCGGCATCGCGGGCTTGAAAATTGATGCACAGTGCGGATGCGAAGCCGCGAATAGATCTTTAACCAAAAGAAGAAAAGAATAGCGGTGGGATCAAACCACCGGTGTATCATTTCTCTCTCTCTCTCTCTCTCTCTCTCTCTTGCCCTCTCTTATCTTTTCTCTTCTTTTTCCTTCATTTTTTCTCCCTCTCTCCCTCCCATCCCTTTGCAAATGACGAGAAAACTTGTCGCATCGTTATTTATTATGTGTAAATGACAGAAATTCTGTAAAAGGAGATTTATTGCTTTTTACTATTTTTTTTTTCATTAGTGTATTATATTAAAGGGAATTTTTCATTACTCATCGCGCGATTCATATTGACATTAGTAAAAAAAAATTCTTATTACATTCGTATTTGTATTTAAAAAGCATTCAATTTTTTTTACATTCTTTTTACATGAGAATATTTTGTATTATTAGGGTAAGTGTATCAATTACTGCGGCATTCAATACTAAAATATATATAATATAAAATATATATATTCTTTTTTTTTTGTTGAAAAATAAAGTTATAAAATATATTCTGTTTATATAGTAAAAAAGATAATAAAAAAAAATATTTTTTGAGTTTGAATTAATTTTTCCAAAAGCACAGTAACTGAAGCACAAGCAACATTATTGTGGCACTTACCCTATTTTTTTATAAAGAAAGAATTTTTTTTTATTCCATTCAGAATTTAAAGCAAAAGAAAAAAAAAGTTTTTTTAATTATTTTAGGTTGTATAATGATTATTATTTTGTAAAATTTAATTTTGTAAATTTAGAAAATATATTAATTCTTATCGTAAATTTTTATTTACTTTCGTAAAAATATCAATTAATAAGTTAATAAGTTCATAGTTCAATTAATAAGTTTCAGTATTTTTAATAGTAATTTTATACTGATTTTTATAGGAAAAATTTATTTTTATTTTATTTATTTATTATTTTATTTAAAAAAATTTTTATAGGAAAAATTTATTTTTACCTTTTACTTTATTTATTTATTTAAAAAAAATTTTATAGAAATAAAAAGCGGTTTATAATTATATCTGTAGAAAAATTATTGTCGTACAATTATATTTAAGTATAATAATGAAAAATAGTTATTATTAAATATACTATTTATCTAAGTCGTCGCCGAATTCAAAATAAACAAACTTAAGAAATAACTGTTTGAGAGAATTGTTTATTTTTTCTTTAATATTAAAATCTTATCAATTATTTGAATTATTTTTTAAAAACTAAATGTAAACTTTGTCAAAATTTTTTTTTAAAAATATTTGTTTTTAATTTTTCTAAAAGTAAAAAAACAAATTTCAAAGTTTATAATAATTTTTTTATAATAAAATATTTGAGTATTTTCTTAAAACTAAAATAGTATACATTGGAAAATAATATTTGTTCATAAAAAATTTCCCAACCGATATCAAAATAAAAAATTAGATATAAATGAATTATTAAAATTTTATAATTTATTAGAAAATTTAGAATGAATCTATTTTTCACCAAACTTATACGATTTCAAATAATTATTTCAAATATTTTATATAATAATTTTCAGGTAAAAAAAAAATATAAATAAAAATATTATTAATAAATAATTATATAATATAATAAAAAAAATTTTTCAATTAAGAAATTAAGAAATTTGTGAAGACATTGTGTAAATAATTTTATTTACTGGAAATCAATAACATAGACTTTCATAAGTGTCTAGAAATTATTTTCTAATAACCTTGATTCGCTCTTTACATGAAGATTTAATTTAATTTAACTTAATATAATATAATATAATTTAAAATTACAAAATAATTATACAAACACGAAATCAATTTGTAAAAATCGTTTTTTATAAAAAATAAAAAAAAGACGAAAAAAAAGTGTCAAGAGAGCTAAAATCATGTAGAAAATATACAATCGACTAGAAATACAAAATCAATCGAAAATTTTTAAATATTAATGACAATTAATCTCAACGTATATACAATACAAATAATTACAATTATTCAAGGTACTTGAACTTGAAAAAATAAACGAAATACATTAACTTTATAACGTACACCAGAACACGATAACATATTATTTTTGTCACGCACCTCGCAATGAAATTTATACGAATGAAATGAATAGCCATTTTCAAGCACAGCAATTATTGAAAATAAATTCATTTTCAAATCAGGCACATAGAGGACATTTATCATTTGTCTATCCTCAAGAATTCCGTCGATATGTACTTGAAAATTAATTGAACCAGTGCCAAATATTCTCATAACCGTTCCACCAACACGAACAAAAAACATTTCATCAAACTCTTCGTAGTGTGAAAAAAAATCCCTCCTCGACGTCATATGCTTCTTGATTCCAGCATTTGTTAGCCAAATATTATTTCTCTCGAGTAAATTATTTTTCCTGTCATTGTAAATGTCAATTGACGAAAGGGACAGGCAACCTGTAAAGAAAAAAAAGCATTTTTGAAAAAAAAAAAATAATCTTTTATTTCTCATTTAGACTTAGAATCAAAGATGAAAAAAATATGGTCACGTTAGAAATGATAAATTGTATCAATTATTAATATTAATAAGTATTAATTATCAATAATCATTATAATAATTAGTAAAAAATAAAATAAAGAAATTTATAAAATTTAATTTATTTTAAAATAATAATAATTATTATTAACGTACAAATTTGAAAAAAAATTACGTACTTTCTGTTTCATCGTTTTTATCTTCATTATCATCTTCATTTAACGACGTTGAATTCCAAATTTTTGCCATTTTCCTCGAATAATTATCAATTTCTCTTTCCTCACGTTTATTCTCCTTGATACATGCTCCATTCCATATGCCTGCAATTTTCTTCGAGTAAATATTATTTTTCGATCTTTTATTATTTTCCACTTCCCTTACGTTATTGAACATTATTTCATTATTATTATTTTTATTATAGAAATTTTTATTGATGAGATAATTTGTAATATTTTGCCCATAAAGTGCTTCTAAACGTATCCAAATATCCTTTGGCTCCTTACAATCAATTAGAAATGGAACCATTGACTCATCAACGGTATCAAGTAAAATCATTGCTGTCTCCAATTTTTTTTCATTCCACAAATTCCATTCACGTGACGATTTTGATTTCATAGGTTCACTTGCATTGCCATCGATATATTTTCTTAATCCCTTTGCTTCAATTAGAAGTAAAACACCAAATTTCCACATATCGTAATTTAAACTTCCTGTTAATTTATTAATATTCACTGTCTCAATTGATTCCATGGTGAAATTTTCTTTTTTCTCTCTCTCTTTCGATAATTTATTATATTTATGGGACAAAATAGATTTAATTATGAAAAAAATTACAAAATTTCTTTTTCACACAATATTTTCAAGTTAATTTTATATAAAATATTATATTTGAAAAAATAACTTATATTATTAACGAGAAATTTGGAAGTTTACGGTTCGAATGCTTCTCTTGAACTCAAATTCAACGTGAGGTTTTGTTGATTCAAGTTTAATTGTGATTCAAGGGCGTGGAGAAGGGAGATTGTCGTGAAAATTTTCGACACTATTGGTCAATGGGAAATAAACAGTAGAATAAACCGTAAAGTGAAAATTGTAAATATCAAAAGTATTTGTGAAAATTTTTCAATAATTTTCAATTTATTATTTGTCTTTCTAAAATCAATGCAGAAGAATTTAAAAAATTTTATTTACTTCATTTTAATTATACATCTTTTATATATTAAAGTACAAATAATTTATAATATTTATAATATACAATATTTAATATATTAATAATTTATTAATAACAATAATTACTACAGTGAAAAACAAATTTATTTGATTCAAGTAAATATTAATTGATAACAGTCAATTAATTAGTTAATTAAATGAAATAATTTTTTTTCAGTGAATCTATTATTATTATTAAAATTATAATTTTATAACTATTAAGATCATATAATATTATTTAACGTCCCTCAATATATATTTTCAATATTAATTTTACGACAAGAATAATTTTAAAATTTATTTTTAAAATTATTCCACTTTTTATAACTGATTATTGCTCTTATTTTAAATTATTAATATGTTTAGTAATATTAATGCTACCGAAATTATTAATTCTTTAAGTTTATTTTATTGTAAAAACCACATTAAATAATTAAATATTTCTTAAAATTGAATTTTTATGAAGAATTTTATCACATAATTTAAAAAATAATTCAATTCTTTGGGCGAATTTAAAAAAAGAAATTTAAGAATAAATGCAATTTTCTATCATTTTATTTAAAATTCTAAAAAAAATAATTGAAATTATGCCATAAGCGTTTGTTATTTATGAAAATATAATTGAATTCTTGCAACGAATTTTATTAAAAAATTTTTTAAAGAATTCAATTCCTGTGAATTATTATTTATGAAAATAATTGATTTCTTGTGAAGAATGTTATTCAAATTTTTTTTTCAAATAATAATTAAATTTCTCAGAATTTTTTAAAACTTTTTCAAAAAAAAAAAAAAATTAAATTCCATCGAGAAATGTCATTAAAAAATTGAAAATAATTGAAATCTGACGAAGAATTTCATTAAATTTTTTTTTTAAATTATTGAATTCCTGTAAAAATGTGAATATATTTGAATTATTTCGAGAAATTTGATTAAAAAATTGAAAATAATTCAATTGGTTCGAAGAAATTTATAAAAAAAAATTGATAAGCAATTGAATTCCTGTGAAATTTTTATTAAAATTTTGTTTAAATAATTGAATTCTTTTGGAAAATGTTTTTAAAATAGTAGATATTAAAAATAATTGAAATAATTTCTAAGTAATAATTTTATGATAGTTCTTGAAGAATTAAGTTATTGAAAAATAAATTATTGTCAGAAATAGAAAAAATTTAAGGTTTTGTATTAGAATTCTTGACAATTTCATAAGTTTGAGGCAAACAAAAAAGACTAAAATTCAGAATTTTCTTATCAATTCTAAAAATTAAATTTTTTCCAGTACTTTTAATGAAAATCCCTGACTTTTTCCTGACCAATTCTAATTTCCCTGATTTTTGCCTGACTTCCCTCACCTATGGCAACCCTGTTAGCGTGGTCTTCGTGCAGTTTTTTGTCTTTGAATTTTGTCAAAAATAGCCTAATATTCATCAGTATAGTTATTTTGACAGTTTTTTAGAAAAAGATGAAAATTGTGGGCATTTCTGAAACTCCAAATTATTTTTTTCTTATTCTGTATCAGTATAGACGAAGAATTCATTAATACATTATTTTGAAATTAAGCGTGGTCTTCATGCAGTTTTTTGTCTTTGAAATTTGACAAAAAAATAGCTTATTTCGCAATTTTGGAATTTTTTTCCAAAAATAAATGGAAATTGTAAGCTTAATATGATAGAGATAAGTAGAATAATGGATTTAATACAATTTTTTTTATTTATAATGATTTTGTTCAATCTTCAATGGATAACAGTAAATGTAAGCTTGCAGTAATTTTCCTATAATCTTGCAAGCTATACTTGAGTAAAGTTTCCCCCCTTTCGTAGACAGTAGTCTTCGAAAGAGGAGATATACTTTTCTCAATCCAAGGAAAGCGGGATAATTACATTCCCTTCAACACCAAACTAAAAAAAAAACTTCGTCCATTCCCAATAAAAAATTTTTCAAATCCTCCCTGTACAAATGGACACGTGTCAACACTAAAGGCATTATCAGTTCATAAGCACAGTGTGTATAAAGAAAAATGAAGGAAAAAAGAAATTCCCGGAAAACTTGTAGGTGTCTTGCTTTTTGTAAAAGCAAAGAGAGGAGACTGTGGCCGGCCCCCCGATGCCACGCCTGACGATTTTATAGTGTCTATATATACACACACAGAGAGTGAAAAAGAGAGAGAGAGAGGACACTCTCTCCTATACACAGAGAGATGCGAGGTCGACAGGAGGACCGACGACGAGGACGACGCGGACGTGAGGGCGCCAGAGAAAAGTAGAGAGGGTCATACACAGAGGAGACAGACACAGGTGGGCGTGGCGCCTGTCCTGCGCCACTCTGCGCCGCACATCATAGTGCGCGCGGGGGGTACACACAGTGATATGAAATTACGGGGGCCTCCACCCCCGACAACCTTTTCAGTCATCCGCACCGCAACTACCACCCTTTTCCCCTCTTCTGAAAGAAAAGAGAAAGAGAGGGAATCAACTTCCTGTCTTCTTTTCTCCTTTCCTCTCTCTCTCTCTTTCTTTTCTTATAAAACTTGGTCTGCCAACACACATATATACATCGGATTTTTATTCAGTTGCAGTCAACGGGGGCCTTACGGCACAGCTCGTTCGTCACGAGCTGCGGTCGACAGAAGGACGCCGCCGTCTCATCTTGCGCGGCCCAATCAGCTCGTAATCACTGAGCTTGGTAAGGTGCGTTCATTGGTTTGGTCTTTGGTCCCGTACATTCATTCTTTGGTAGCACACTAGGAAATAGTCGTCTTTTATATATATATATATATATTTATACTTTAGAAAGAGAGAACGTGGGTGATACCTGCGTGAGACGATACCGAAAGGACTATATACCGCAACTCTTTACTCCCTTCTTTCCTTTTTTTTCTCTGACTACTTCACATTTACCGCGCGCCAACCACTGTCACCATCATCGCGGACTATACAAAAGGCGCCGGGATTTAATACAGTTGCGCCCACGAATTACCTGCTCGTAAAAGGGGGATACACAGTAGTGGCACATATCATATATTTTAGCTTTGTGGTTATACCCTCATGTGGTCCTGAGGTTTGAAAATTTTAAAAAAAGAAGACTAATCGGGGAAAAAAAAAGTTTTTTGAATTAAGACCACAGAGATTTATAATAGTCTAGCGGGGGCCCTGGTCTCAGAAAGTTATTCATTAAATAGAGTAGAGTTGAAAATTATCGATTTGGACAATTTTTAGTAGTAAAAAATTCTTTCGGGTTGAAGCCCAAAAGAGAATAATGGATTTGATACAATTTGTATTTATAATGATTTGGTTCAATAGATAAAAGCAAATGCCTTGTCATATTATCTTCTAAAGACTGATAGGATCTTAGGCAAAGTTTAATCCTTTTGATGATTTGGTTCAATCAAGAACAGCGACTGTCTTGTCCCAATGTCCTCTAATGACTGACTGAACCTTGGATACAGTTTTATCCTTTTGATGATTTGGTATCAAGTAGCTTGATAAAGAGAAGTGTCCATCTTGTTCCACTGTCTTCTGAAGATAGACGAACTGTTGTAATTAATAATAAAAATTATGTGATTATCAATTAATAATATGCTGATGATTCTAATTGTATTTACTTAATTGTAAGAATATAACTATAGCCAAATTTTGTAACAAAGCAATTCCAGAGGAAGTATTTAATCTTGCTTACTATGATAGAGAAGAGTAGAATAATAAATTTGATACAATTTGTATTTATACTGATTTGGTTCAATAGATAAGTGCAAATGTCTTGCTAAATTTTCTTCTAAAGACTGACAGGATCTTATATGCACAGTTTTATTCTATTAGATGATTTGGTATCAAGTATTAGGATGAAAAGTTATCCACCTTGTTCCGCCGTCTTCTGGCGATTGATTGACTTTTGTAATTAATATCCTAAAAATAATTACAAGATTATCAATTAATAACATGCGAAAGGTTCTAATACTAATTACTTAATTGTACAGTTAATGGTATACCTAGTTTTATAACAAGCAATTCCGGAGAAAATCTAAAATCTTGTTAAATATAATAGAGTAGAGTAGAATAATGGATTTGATACAATTTTGTATTTATAATGATTTGGTTCAATTCGATAAGAGTGATCATCTTGTCCCAATGTCTTATTCTAAAGACTAACCAGGATCTTAGACACAGTTTTATCCTTTTTGATGATTTGGTATCAAGTGTTTGGATGAAACAAAGTGTCTGCCTTATTAACTATGATAGGGAAGAGTAGAATAATGGATTTGATACAATTTTTTATTTATAATGATTTGGTTGAAGAGATAAGAGTGACCGTCTTGTCCCAATGACTTCTAAAGACTAACAGTTTCTTAGACACAGTTTTATCCTTTTGATGATTTGTTATCAAGTATCTGAATGAAGTGAAGTGTCCACCTTGTTCAGTCTTCAGAAGATTTATGTACTGTTGTAATTAATAAAAATAATTACGTCATTATCAATTATTAATATGCTGATGATTTTAATTGTAATTCCTTAATTGTAAGAATATAAGTAAACCCAAATTTTGAAATTAACAATTCCAGAGAAAGTATTAAATCTTGCTTACTATGACAGAGAAGAGTAGAATAATGGATTTTGATACAATTTATATCTATGATGATTTATTGGTTCAATAGATAAGAGTGAATGTCTTCTTACATTATCTTCTGAAGACTGACAGGATTTTAGGCACAGTTTTCTTCTTCTAATGATTTGTTATCAAGCATTTGGATGTAAAGAAGTATGTCCACCTT